GTGGTGGTGGGAGGACAGAAATCCACCTATTGCCCTGAGATGAACGTACATCAGATGTCAAGATACAATCAATGCCTAGAAATGTGCACAGGCAGCAGAGGACAACAAATGTATTTCCCTCCAGGGCAGTTAAGGGCCTCACACCACTGCACTGCTGTTAGAGCAGCATCGCACTGCGGATGACGATGGAAGCATGCCGTCTGTCCTGAAACAACCCCAGTAAGCAGTGGAGCAACACGATCATATTCCATGAAAACATACGGTGCTCAAGACAGCACCGTGGTGACGTACCTCTGTTGATTTCAGTCAAGATCAGATGACAGTCTGTCACCAGTCAACAAATGATATCAACTGCAGTAGCAACTGCCTGAGTGGCAATGACAGTACAGCACAGCCGGCCATGAGGCACCGAGTCACCTCACGGAAACAGCACTGCTCCGTGATACACATGTACTGCCTCACCACCACCTCCTTGCATGGCATGATGGCCTGGACTACAGCAGGGCAGCATACAAGCAGCAATAAACTTATCATTAGTGTCACAAACCCACAACATGATAACCACAGTCACGCCTGCAAAGACGTATTGATGGCACTGACACGAACTCACCTGAAATGTCACAACTGCCTCTTTCCAAGTGACATAATCATTGCTGCCATGAGCAGCACAAATGGGCTAACACTTGCAGTGGCACACTCAGCTGCTGTATAGCTGCTCAAAGCCTGAGACCTCTGCAAACACAAATACATCTCTCCACACTACATTTCACTGAAATTATTGACGTCAAAATTTTCTTCAAGACATTGTATTCTGAGGCAGCATTTAAAACACCATTTTCTGGTCTGGGACTGTAGCAGCTCTGCACTCCACTGATGGAGGCATTTCTGCCTTCCCAGTAGGAATACGGGCATCATGGACAAGCTGGAAATCCCTTAAGCTGATTGCTGTTGAACCTTGCTCTGCAGTCAGGGTCCCCGTTGGGAGTGAGAGAAGAGAAAGCAACCTGTAACAACGTAATGCTTCTCAGCAGAGAATGCTGTGATAGCAAGAGTGAGAAAATTATGCATGCAGTACCAAAGCAACACATAGCACCGCAGTGACGCTGCCTATCCTGCAGCTACGCGGCCAGCAGTGTGAATGCTCCTACAGCTGCATGCAGTACCTCATTCTGACTGCTCAGTGCCACAGCCTGCAGCATGCAGCCCCGTTTGGAGCTGTACGGTGAATCACCTGCATCGATACACCTGTAACTGACTTGCCAAAATAGCAATGACCCTTCACTGTTCCCCTGTTCTGACACAGCCCTGCCTCATTTCAGTGTAAATCACTGTGATAGTCCAAGTGACAGGTGAAGAGAGGGAAGGAGGAACTTCTGCCTTCTGAGGTTAGCTCCCCCATCCCCACCGGGGATTCCTTTACTGCAAACAGCCTGAGTATTACTGCCATTTACAGTAGCAATCACTCCGTCCCCTCCTCTCCCACAAACCCACTGCTGATATTAGCACTGATCATACTAACAAGCCTGTGGGTTTTATTACTACTGATACTAATAATACTGGACACATTACGTCTGCTCCCGCCAATAACAGGCTGTAGATATGATCCCTGCTAATGCCAATAATACTGGGGGATATTATCTCTGCCATTGTCAGCACTGCAGATATTATTGCCAGTAATGCTGTCAAATACTACAGATATTGTCAGGGGCCAACATTAATAATGCTGGGATTGTTACAACACCAGCCTCGCTGGAACACAAATCCCAAATGAGAATTTGGGTACATAGAGAAGTCCATTTGTGGCCTGCTATGGAGAGAGAGAGCTATCTTTAATAAGAGTAGTTTTGTAAAGGTCCCCAGAGTTTTACACAGTTGAAGATGCAGGGAATCATCTGAAACGTCATTTTTATATTGTCTATTCATTTAGCTATTTATCCATCTATCTGTCCTCTCTCCCTTTTCTTTCTATATACTGCTTAAGACAATAGTACTGGAGCACTGCTATTTTTTTCTTAGTTCCTCTGGCTCACCCCGGTTCTTACCCTTTTAGCTATCTGTTGGGTATTGCAGAACTACAGAACAACAATCTAGATCAATAGAGTCCACCCTCAGCAAGTTTGCTGACAATACAAAGCTGGGAGAAATGGCTGACACACCAGAAGGCTGTGCTGCCATTCAGATGTTCAGGTCTAACTCGTTCTTCCCAGGCCACATTCTTCCCAGGCCAGCCAGCATATTTGGTATGTTGGTCCCCTGCTTCTCCGTGAGGAACACACCTGGCTGTCATCGGCCATTGCTAAGCCCACCTCTGGCTCCTTCTGTCCAACTTGGGAGTTCCGCTACATCATCTTGACACATAATTATCTCTCCTCTTCTTAATCATCTGTGCTACTGCCTAGCGCAGTGCCAGCTGCAGAAAACAGGATCTGGGGGAGGGGGTGTGCTCAGGCAGGGGCTCCTCTATCTCTCCAACCCTGCTCTGTGTCCTCAGCCAGCACAGGGATTGCTAACAAGGTTTTCAAGAACCAGGATTCAAGAGCACTTCTGTCCTTTGCCTGTCTCCGCAGAATTGCATTCCTCACAAAGCATCATCCTAGCAGCAAAGCTGTCCCAGTGAAGCAGAAAGAAGAACAATGCTGCTGTCTCTGCCTTCTTTAGGGAAGAGCCATTCCCAAAATGCTGGGAGAGTGGATGTGCTTTTCTACGTGAGATTAAACCCCGCAGTTAAGAAATTGCAACAAGACGGAGCTCAGAAGCTTTGGGAAGTACTGAGAAGGTCTATATATCCAGCATGAGCATGAAAGGAATACCTGCATTGGCCTTCTCATCTTGCTTTCCTAAGCCTCATCTCAGCTAGGAGTGCCCAGAGACCTCAGTGCTGCAGGGCAGGTTGCCCAGGGGGAGTGCAGGTTACAGACTGTGCAAAACCTCCCTTCGGATCTTCTGACTTTAGGGCACAGCCCTGCTGTGGTGGTGTCTGTCAGTGTTCCTTAAAGCCACTGTGAGCGCAGGGAGTCAGCTCCTGGGCAGGGGTGTTCAGCAGCTGCCAGGGGTCCCTTGTGAGGTTTCTCTGGGGTGGGAGTGTGACATCTCCCAGGATGGCAGAATGAAGGCTCTTCTCTAAGGAGTTTGCAGCTGTGTCGTGTTACTGAGATCCCACACCTCCAGGATAGCCTGGTACCTTTTTGATTTCTAAGGAGATACCTGGGCTGTTGGCCAATAGTAGGGAGTTGCACAATAATTCTTGCCCTTCAAAAATCAAATCCAAGATGAATTAAGGACAGACACAGAGTTGTGAATCTTTGTGAAGCATCACAATCTTAGATGTCTGTTTGATTGTTTCTGTGTTTAATTGTACTGCTTCAAAAATCTCAAATTCCAGGGCTGGTGATGATTGCGTGGCTGCATTTAAGTGGGATGACCATTGCAGGTATTTTGAAAGAATACCTGCTAAAGCCAGATTGAAAATGAGATACAGAAGCACCTTGTTGACAGCTTGTGATCACCAAGCTGGATTGAATGAGAACAGGGGTTCACAGAAACCCCAACTACTGCCAAAAGATGTACAACCACTAGAGAAACTTGTCGCTTGGTTTGAAATGTCACTATTTCCTGTGTAAGCAATGATAAGAAATGCCAGAGAGGCTTACAATGTTTTCAGTCTCTTACTCCTGACATTTTTTTGACTTTGAGGCGTTGACTCAGCCCTCCCATTGCTACATTTTTCTCTTAGCTAGGCCCTACTGCCATCTAGCTGGGAAATGGATCTTCCTCTGGGTCTTGATCCAATTTCCAATGGCATCAGCAAAAGTCTTCCCGTTTGCGTTGATAGGGGATGAACTGGGTCTTTGCTTCCAGCCTCTAGTTTTACTTTGTATTGGGAGAAATGGATCAGCCTTTTTCGTGGGATTATTGTTTATTCAGATCTAGAATTTAGAAATGTGAACCTCACTGGCATCAATGCTGGGGAAATGACTGGAGAAACTTCAAAATGCAGCATCTGTATCAGAAGAACTTCACCATGCATCACAAAGAGCCCTGGTATTGCCATACACCACACAGCCTGGGATTACCACATACACAGCACAGGGAGCCACCGACACTGCCAAGAGAGCCCCATGTAACAGGCAAAACCAACACCCTGAAGGCAGTGTTGAGCTGCACAGACTGGTCAAATGCTACTCTTGGAAAAGTTCACCTCCTAGCCCCAGTTTGTGAATCAAATCAAATTAGAAAAGCAAGACAAAATTGTACAAACCACTATAAACACACCAAGACATCTCCCATCCACTCTACTGCATCTTCTTTCTGGATCTGAGGCTCCAGATTTTGGTTCATTTCAAGATTCACTTTGCCCTGAGTCCCTCCCAACAAGTAGCAAAGAGAAGGAAACAACTTAATACTAGTTTCTTAGATCACTAGTGGAAGGCTTGGATAATAACCTTCAGGCCACAGAAGGGCTCCTGTTCTGCTTTCTGCTTGTCACAAGTATGGCAGTTCTAGTGTATAGACACTGTCCATGCAGTCCGGGCCCTTGTAGCCACCACAGCTAATGCAGCTCATGGCACACCAAGGGGCGGGAACTTGTTTGCAAGGGGATGGGAAGATACCCCACGTTGCTGATGCTTCTCTGAGATGGCACTGGGTTTGAAAACAAGTGAGTCGGGAAAACCTTGTTTACCCACAGTTCCAAGTCTGGGCACCTGCTGGCACCAAGGGAGCTCAGTTCCAGCCATTTCCAGCAGTGAATGAACTTGGGATCAGCTCCAGCAATGGAGACGGTTCTCTGCCTGCCGAGCAGATGTCTGGAGACACAGCCTGTCATGAAAAGGCCTCAGAAGAAGAGCACTCCAAGCCAGCAGGGCAGTGGCGGGGAACTGGTCTCTGTTGCTAAAACTGATCTAGCCCCTGGAGCAGCTGCAAACCTTGGCCTGAAATTGGAGCCTGTGCATGGGGACAAAGAATATAAAAGGGAGGATGAGCTTCTCCCCTCCCCCTACCTTCATCACGTTTCCTCTTCTCGCCATTCGACCGAGGAATCCCCAGGATCCCGTTAATGGAGTAAGAGCCCACTGGATCATTGGAGGCACTGGAGACGGGAGGGGATGCTGTGCTGGGCACTGGACAAAAGGAAAAGGGAGAAAGGGCCATGAGGAGAGCAGCCAGCACTCAGGGATCCCCCCACTGAAAGCTACATATACCACTACTCTCACAGGAGAGCATGGGGACTAAGCAGGCTCCCTGTCCCACACACAGAAGGACTCATGCTAATCCTGCTCTGCTAATGCTGCCGAATCCTAGCTGTGCCATCCTGTTCATGTACCATATCTCCATAGACTTACAGTACAGGGCCAATAGGAATGAACCAGTGTGCTCCACCAAGAAGCTAAATGTTGCTGTTTCCCATACGAAACAACTTATGGGAAACAGCAGTTCAGAGCAGGTCTCCCAGGGCATCCAAGATTACTGAGTGCAATGCTGCACAGGCCACACTCCCCAGGGGCTCTCAGACTATCCATATTTTGTCAGATCATTTCCTCTCAACATTTTTCCACCTGGAGTGCACATACCCTGTCTTAGCCACACCAGCCTCTAACGTGTCCACCAAGACTCTCCATGAAAAATCACCTTCTCTTAGCGCAGGTGAGAAGCTCTTCAGAGTTGGGCCAATAAATTCAGTTCCCTACTAGAACAAACCATGGACTCACGATACGTACTCCAACCAGGATTAATAAAAATCTTGTGTCTTTCTTTTGCAGATCAGTTTACAGATCACTGTAAACTGGCAGACTCCTCCAGCCACTCACGACTCTCCAGGACTACTCTGGAGTTTCCAATACATCAGAAAGGACAAGTCACCCAGATTAGAAATAATTACTTCCCGATAATTAGGGCTTTAGGGTTTAGAGCAAGTAGAGTTGTACATCCAGTAGGCAAGCCCATTATGTCCCAGCATGCCCTAGTCATTAGGAGGATATCCCAGTTCCCTTACAAACCACTAGCCATCATTCAGCTCATAAAGCATTGAGCTGAAGCATTCAATACCTCCAGCAAAGGCTTTCCAGAACAGAGCAGAACCTGCCAGAACTGCCTGATGTAGATGCACACTTCCCAGTGCACCACAGAGCAATGAGAGGCTCCAGCAGCAGCGTTCACAGCCACCCTCCCAGCTCCGCCAACTTATTCCCTAGACACTGCATTGCTTCTCCAAGAAGGGGGAATATCTGCCAACTCCATCTAATGTGGTCAGTGCTTCCCAGGCCATTGAGTGAGTCCAGATTGAAAGGGCATCCAGAAATGCTCTTCCATACTGGGTCATTAATTCTTTTGTGCTCTTGAATACAGTTCATGTACAGGAGTTTATCTGCCAGCTCTGTTCCACGTAGGCCAGCACTTTCCAGTAAATCCTTGTTTAGCAACTGATTCTCAGTAACCAACAGCATCTAAGACAGTGTCTTACGCCACAGGTAAACCACAATATTCCACACTACTACATGTTTTCTCCTGCTCTGAGTTGCTGTTAGATAACCAAGTGCTATCAGCAGCAGACATTTGTACCATGCAACCCACATCAGTAACAACACCCCATCACATGTCTAGCACAGCATCTTTAAATGCAACAGACTAGTAGACATTTGGTAGCTTTATTACAGCCTCCATCTTCTGCTCACCTCAATAAGCCCTTTTTCCCTAGCAGAAAATGCTTTTTCTCAGTGAAATACACCCATGGGATAGCTGACTACAAAGCTAGAACATTGAAGGACTCTGTGGTGTGGTATCAGAGTGGCATATCCTGTTCATCTGAGAGATGAGAAACAGGGAGAGAGAAGCAAAGCCAAGCAAGAAGAAGAAAGGTGAAGGCTAGTGCTTGGGTAGGATAGTGGCAAGTACTTCTCTCTAGGGAGGTGAAGGAGAGAGTGAGCAAGTGAAAGGGGTGTTGAGGCAGGATAGCTTTGGGCAGACTCCTTTGGGTAAACTCTCTGCAATGCAGCTAGGGCAGCAGAGAACAGAAACCTCTGCTTTCTGGTGAGGTTTCTTTCCCCCCATCTGCCTTCCCCTTGCACCTGCTTGTCAGACTTGACTTGTTTGCCCCTGCTGAGCTTCATTCCCATTTCCAGCTGTCCCATCACCAACCCCTCCATGCCAGTCTCCTTACCGATAGTATGTCCTGGCGCAGCCACACCTGTCCCGCTCCCGTCTGGTGTTGGGTGGAAAGGTTGCTGAACTTTGGTTCTGATAATCCTGGAAAAAAAGCAAAGCATGTTCAGAACTCAACTCTTCTTGCAGTTCCTCTGTGCCTTTGAACACTGCGATTCCAGTAATCAGAGCCTGAGGCTGAGGGCCTGAGCTGACATCTGGCTGCAGCAGTGCATCTTAGCACTTCTTGTAGACCTGATTCTGGTGCTTTAATGGTCCTGCTCGCACAGAATTGTCCTTGCTGCGCTCTGTCCTGCCCCCAACCATGTAGTCGCTGCATGATTATGATGCTCAGCGAGCAATCTGGGATCCAGTCTCTCCTATGTGGTAGTGACTGTGTTATTGCTTGTGATCAGATCTGCTAGTGTGCTCATGAGGCAGCCTTTGCAGCTAACAGCCACTGCTAGATTTGCAAATGGTGTAGATTTCATTTTGTCGCATGCTTGAGAAATTCCTTTCTGGCACAGCACTGGGAGATTTGAACTGATGGAGGGCTTTCCCAAAGCCCTACTCTTTGTGAATGGCAGTGGGAGCAGAAGGCACCTGTACAGAGTGATGAGGGGATATAGATTACCAGGAAAAAGAATCTGCCGCAAAGGGATACTGCTTTTGTTTATCAGGTCGTGCACAAACACAGTATGGAAACCCAAAAAGATGTCAGTGAATGCCACAAAGTTCACAGTGCAGCTCAGAATGAAAATAAACTGAACTGCAATTGTCAGTGTTCATTTTCTTGTTACATGCAGTCTTTCACCTCTAAGTCACTGATTTAAATCCAGCTCAGGTCAGTGTGAAAGAAAATCACTATCCTCTAATACTTGGCTGGGGGGCCTGCCCGCTGCCAGGTGCTGGGTAGCTGTGACTCAGGAACAACCATGTCTTACCAAGGGGCTCAGCAAATAAGCCATGACCTGTGAAGGCCATGGAGACTAAATTCCTTTCTGAGCTTAAAACAAGCCTCTCCAATTAGGATGAAGGCTACAGATGCTCGTTCGGCTTAGTTTCTGGAACTGTTAGCCTTGCATTGTATTAGCTTTAACCTCTCCTCAAAACTCTCTCCACAGAAAGTGAAAGCAAATAATGCATTCTCCCTGCCCACCCGAGGGCTTTTCTTAGAAATTCACACTAAAGAAAGAGTTGGCAAAACTTCAAAGAGAGAATGTGTGTCATGGGCAGAGGTAGGCAAAGACTTTGGGAGGGCATTTTTGAAAAAGCATGGCTTCACAAAGTGAAGCCTTCATAGGAAGAGAAAGGCATTTCAGAGCACATCATCTCAGGTTACTGGAAAACACAGATAGATGGTGAAACCTGGGCAGTTTCTGGAGGAGCAGAGGACAACTGGGTCTTAGCTGCAGATAGGTGATATCAGGGCTCTGGCTGGGGATGGAGAATCCTCACTCTCCTCACCTCTCATAGTGCAGGGGTTCCTGGTTCACAGCTGTGGGGATACAGACAGAAGGTGTTGGAGGGCCTTAGGCTGAGGGCCTGGATTTTGAGGTCATGCTGGTGTGCACAAGCTGGGTCCTGATCTGAGGAGTCAGTGCTAGGGCAAGTAATGCAACTTTCTTCTTCTTTTCAATTTTTTTTTCCTTTTCTTTCCTCTCACATTCCCCCTAAAGCCCCCTGAAGTGCCACTCTGGTTGTGTGAGTTTATTGATTTCCCCCAGCCCAGAGAAACAGAAAGAGGGGATGGGGTGCAGGCAAAGGGATGGAAATAGAAAGCTATAAATTATTTGTGACAGGAAAGCAATAGTGCCAGAGTGCTGAGCACAAGTCCCGTGTCACTATTAGATTCCTTTTAGCCTGATGACACTGTAAAAGAGGTTAAGTGTCTGATGGAATCGTACACCTTGGGGGCAGGGGCAGTCCAGAAGCAGAACAAGCCACAGAGAGCGGGTATATCAATTCTCCAGGCCAATAATATTCCCCTCATTGATTGCAACACAAAGTTCAAAAATCTCATTATAGTCAGGCAGACCTGGAACTTTTTAAAAATCAATACAGTGGTATAACGTATGTATACTTTATATAAATGTATCTATCCATCCATCCATCCATCTGTCCATCCATCCATCTCCAAAAATCTGCCTGAGGGTGTCTAAGTTAACCTACACATTAGACTGTGTTATGTTCTATTGTAGCACAGCATAGTGAATGGATTAGACGCTTTCCCCTGCAGCCTTAGCTGCCATGTTATACCATGTCCTATTAGCACTGAGATGACATCAGATAGTGCCATTCGCACTGCAATATGACATCAGGTTGGCCATTCACACAGGCAGGTGACATCAGCCTCTGCTCCTGCAGCAGGAGCCCCAGGTGAGCTATGCTAAATGGAAACCGCAGCACTTCCAAGGCCATCTAGAGCGAAACCAGCCTGTGTGGTGTTTTGGGTATAGCAGTCCCGTCCATAATGCTTGGAAACCCCAGGCAGGGATGAAGAAGAAAGTTTCATTTCCTTCTCTGTTCTGTTCTTGGGCTCTCAGCTCAGAGTGCTGGTTGTACCCACTGCAGTAGTGTACACAGAGATGTGTCCATCTGGAGTTGGAGAGAACTCACCAGCTCATTTCACTACGTAGCCATCATCTCATAATGTTTTTTGGTCGCTACCAACCAGGGCCAGCCACAGCTGGTGGCCTTGAGATGAAATGTCTCACTGGAAATATTTCCTTCTTACAAAGGAAGCTGGCTTTCTGCCAAGGGTGGACAGGAGCAGTGAGCAAGTGAGAACGTTGTTGGTTTTTCAGCCTCAGGTAGCTTGGTTCAGCTCGTTTCTGGCATTAGATGGCAGAATCTAATCAGTTAGTCAATGTCTCCTATGGCTAAAAGAAGAGGCAGGCCACGTGCTCCTCTGCCACATGGGCATGGCCTCACTGGCATTGGAAGGAGAGAAGTCTCAGATCCTAGCTTGGAGCACAGAATCTGGCCGTGTTTCACCCAGGGTCGCTTCATTTAAGGGCAGTGATAAACAGCACTGTCCCAGGAATCGCTGCTGTCGCTGCATCAGGCTCTGAGTGAGTCGTGTATGTGAGACCACCTAATGAAACAGCAGATGAAAGATGAAGAAAGCTGACCTCATCCTGTAGCAACAGATGCAGCATAATAATGCAGTCTTTAAACTTCAGGACTGCTGAAAGGTTCTAATCATCTGCAGAGGCTGAAGTATGCACAGAGCTGACCCAAACTTAGGAGTGCTATACTTGTGTCCTGTGAGAGGAAGCAAACCCTCGGTCACCTCTTGCTGCTTTCTGTGGCTTATTCTCACCTCTAGATGCTGGAGGAAGATGTGCCTTTTGCAGAACACTTCTGCAGCTCTTCCCAAAAGAGGAAGGGACACAGCTCTTGGCACACCACTCAGCAGTGCTGATTTTTTGAAGTAAATGCCAGTGTTTTCAAAGGCCTTTCTTTTCTCCAATAGAAATTGTCACTTTGGACTAATTTCATCTCTGCTCTAATTCCATCACAGTCAGTGACTCCAGTAACGGCCTTTGTGCTTAATTAGGGGCATAAACTGGCACTTATTGTAAATTCCCATTTTTCATTTTCCAGTGGGAGATTTTTGCACAAGTTGTCTACCCTGAGTTTTGGAGAACATACAATTTTAATACATAATCGAATGAAGTTTCAGCAACAGGACATTTATAGATCTTTGATGGCAGTAAAGCAACCAAACTTCATTTCACAATCTGAATTTAATATGTGATATTATCATAAGTAACGGCGTGTAGTATCATTACAGTCCGTAGTATCGTACTGTGAATTATAAATCCATTCCTGGAACGTGCAAGTTACTGCAGTTGCCTTGTAGTAATTCTATCTAGAGTGAATACTTCAGATAGCTCCGGCTGAAACCAACGGCCTGCTTCCAATGCTTTTGAGTTTCTTAAACATTCAGCACTAGATCAGGAATTTCCAGTGTTTGATTTCTATCTGGTTATTTTTGGCACCTTTAGTGCAATCTGTTTTGCTGATTCTAAATGCAGATTAACACAAAAAGTCATCTCCAGTAATCTGACAATTGTAACAAGGGCTAATCAAATTTGGTCGAGGATGTAGAAAAAAATATTAAAGATAAAATTAGCTGAGACATCATCCTTTCTGAGAACTGGAATATTCTCACCTTGTAAAGGAGCAAATGAAAAATCTCCCCTAGACCTGTTTGGGAGTTATTTGCTATAAGAATGACAGAGCATAAGAAAAATCCCTTGCCTCTCTGACATTTCTGTCCAGGCTGTCTTGTAGACTTGCCATACCCTGTGGTTTCTCCACTCTCACTGTTGCTTGGAGAGATTTTAGACAGTACCTCAAAGCCCAGATGAAAGCCCAGTGGGGTTGATGGGAGGGAGATGAGCGCTGGCTGAGCCCTACAGAGATCCCAGTGTAGCAACTCCTTTAATCCTGGAAGAACCAGGTGAAGTTGCACTAAGGAGGTGTGGTGTGTCCTGCTGCCTCAAGGAAACCTGACAGACTTCAGATAGCACTGGTGTCTTCTCTGTGATCATCTTCCTTTGTCACAGATTATTTGTCAGAGTGGAAGGGTACACTCTGCGGAGCACCAAACTCCTTGTAATTGTTTTGGAGTGTTCGTACTTTAAATGCTCCGTATTAGAAGCACATTACAAGACCCCAGGGTGTGCATTACTGGGCAATTAAAGCCGCTCTTGGAAGGCTAACCCTGCTAAGCTTCAGCCTGGCTCTCTGCAGTGAGTCTAAGGGCAGCTGTGGTGGCCAAAGAGCCAACACTGCGGTGCCTCGCCGCTGCATTAGCGCAGCTGTGCCTGCAGGGACACGGTGTGGGGCTGAGGGGCACTGCCACACACTTTGTGCCTCACGTCGCTACCTGCAATGGGCTGGGGACCCCCAGTGATGCTGGCATCAGAGCATGCCTCAGGGAGAGAGATGAGGAGAGGGAGCCTTGGGCTCCTCAGTGCTGACAACATCCCCCCTGTAGGTGGGTGCTGTGCAGGCACAAAGAGCTCTGAGCGTGGCTTGCGTTCACACAGGAGAGCCTGCATGTTTCAGTGCATGGGCACAGCTGAATTCAC